TCTCTCTCTCTCTCTCTCTCTCTCTCTCTCTCTCTCTCTCTCTTTCTCTCTCATATTTATTATTATACTGCCTCGAGCAAAATCTAATGAGAAGTTATGCAAACATGTACGATAAAATGTAACTTTGGCGAGCAAATCAATTTTAATTCAACTGAATATTTTTTATTTCGAATTCTGTCAACATTTATTTCCAGATTTCTGTTTTTCCTAAACAAAAATAGCGAGTTAAATGAGGGAGCACGCAACCATGTGTCTGCTGGTGGAAAATAAATCCATTCCTTCTGCACGTCTCGCTACTTCCGGGATGAAAACGCCGCTCGTGATATACTCAATTCAAGAATCCAGATTCTTTTTATGGGGGGTGGGGAGGGAATTCCCGTGCGGGATAGTCCGCTTTGAAGCGGACGAGTCCTTAACTTGGGCTTCTCAGGGGACGCAATGAGAGCTCCGTTAACTACGATAGGACGACGCCGTCGTGCGACTATATTAGTAATGAGCGGAGCGGTGTTCCCTGCGGAATGCGCAGTTTATCACTCGGTGGCAGACACAATAATACAATGGCGAAATCCTGGCGAAGATTATTCGCGCATAGACGAGGAGAGCGCGCAGGATATGCGCCGCGCCCTCAGGACAAGAAGAATAATGAGTTTGCTGGCGCGTACTTCTGCCTGGTGTTAGGGTGAAACGACGTCTATATAGTATATACTAGCAGCACGAATTAACGTCCTAGGTCATTGTCAGATTAATATCGTATCATTCTCAAATAATCTCCTTTTCATTCTGTCGCGTTACACGAAATGTCTACGCTATCTCGCAACCTTTCGCAATGAAATTGAAGGAACATTATCAGAGAATGCATAAACATTATTACAGTAATATATCACTGTAACAATATTTTACTTATAACAATATGTTATATTTATGGAGCTTAATTGCCGGGCTACATTTTATTTAAAGTATAAAAAGTTTAATTAATTAATTCCTTAAATTTTCGTGAATTAAATTTTCGTGTGTGCAATGCAGCTGATAAAAAATAATTCACCCGAAATTAAAATACGCAGTGGTGAAATTAATGGTAGTTTAAGTTCATAATTTTTCTTTAATGAAATCCTATATACTTATTCTCTTTTTCGGAATATATTATCTAGAATACATTACGTGTCTCGCATCGCAAATTATGCAGGATTTTTATCTAACCGTCCAAGTTATACGGAATTTCCGTAGTCGCACGCTTCGCGGACCACGCCTGTGAAGAAGCCGCATGCATACTAACTTCTCTGATATCCTAAGAAGCCAAACCGCCAATTAGGCCAACAGTTTTCCGAACGCGCGCATACGCAAAGGCATTTTTGCAACGCGCACCGAATAGAGAACAAGTTCTTTCCCTTAAATTTCAGAGCCGAATATATTCTTCTCTCCCCCACGAGGATCTTGCAAATACACAAAGAATGGAGGAGCATCTGCGCGCAACAAATATCAAAGTTACGAACTTTTCGGGTTAGGTTTACCAGAAGGATTCGCCGTTAGTGACGAGCGAGCTTACTTAGAATTCTAAGGAAGGTTTCGAGAAGAAGGAAGGAAGGAAAAAGAAAAGCAGAAAGAAAGAGTCTGGCTGCCTTATACTGGCCGCGATGGTTTTGCGCTATCGGTCTACGTCCTACGATCTATTTCGTTGCTCTCGAAGAGATTGCCATTGCGTCTGCATTACTCCGGGGCACTCTCGTGTTATCGGGGCCTTTGGCCCGGAGGTATGTACCCTGGTCGTTTGCCGTACCCGTACCGTACCGAGCCTGTGTTCGTCAGCGTACACGCGCGCCTATGGTTGCATTTGCGCCTGTGTGCGCCGACGGGGGTGGGCAGGGTTGTGTCTGCGGGTGCATTACGTTGATTGCTGGTCGCGGCCTCTCCGGGAGAACACAGAGAACATCGAAGAGGTTCAGCGGGCTGAAGAGGGCGAAGACGGTTGGGAAACGGGCGAGGGAGAAAGAAAAAGGAAAGCGAGGGCTGTATCAGGGCCCTTCCTCTCTCCGGTAAGTAAGCGAGCGCTGTATCCATGAAGGTGCACGGATTTTAATCCTTTCAGTGAACAACGGTGACTTCCTTGAGCAGTTTTCCGCGAATAGCGTTCTGTTTTTAATTCTCTCACTTTCCATGGATAGTGCGCCGCCTTCCACGAAGTTGATTTCACTGTTTACTCGCTTATGTACGTATTTTTAATAACGTTTTGTTAATAACATTTGTCATATCTTCTTCAGTTCTTTATAAATACTTGGTGTATACTAAAAGGTTCTAGAATTTTCAAATTTAACTGTAATGACAAATTTATTACATCAGAATATTATTTGAATAGAAAGAAAGAAGTGTGCAAATTAGAAACTTCACTGTTGGAAGATTTGTGTTAAATATAACATAAATCACATGTCCCAAACGGTCCACGCAAATTTTTGTGTTAATTTAACATACTATGGATGTGTTAAATAGTAACACCGATACTAAAACATTTCAACCGAAAGAAAATGTAATTTGGAGGTTAATTTGAGGTTAATTATGTGTATACAATTAACATAACTTTTATGTTTAAAACTGTAAGATAAAATTAACGCTCTTTTTCTGTAAATTTTTATTCCCACTTTTGTTATAGAGTACCTAAAATCAACACTTTTTTTCTGTAAATTTTAACACATTTAATAAATGCATTCAAATTGTGTTACTTTAACATATTTATTTTTTAAATTATTTTAATAATTTTATATTTTAAATTTGTTAAGTTTAATTAACATAGCAGGCATCTGTTAAATCTACGAATGTATGTGTTGATTATTTTACACAAAAATTGTAACAAGGACCTTTTTTAACAAAAGTACAAAAATTTTTCAACAGTGTTGCGCATTGCTTTTTCACCATTTTTTTTACTCATAAAACTCTATGAGAAATTAACAAAATTATTAACATATAATATACATTCCTGTGCAAGTTTCTAATTTGTACACTTTTTTAAATTAAAAACACTTAAAAAATTAATATTTTTAAAAAATTTTATATTCAAAATTTTATAAAAAATGACCCTTTTACCATTATCATCAAAATAAAAAAACACCATTCTTTAATAATACTCTATATTTATTTTAGAAAATTTAGCTCAATATCTCAAAGTTTGCACAAGTTAGAACTTCCACAGACAGTTTTTGAAAAATTGAAACTACCTTAAAATCTAAAACACTGTATGAATTTTTATAAAAATAACAGTAAATAAAAGTGTTCCACTACTTTAAAACGGGTTAAAGTAACAAGTCAGATATTGAGTTACGAATGTTACGATTTCAAATAGTAACAATCCGTGTATCGCGTGCACAAAGTAAAAGAGAAACGAGTCTATGTTATAATATATTTACACGAAAAATGCGATTAAAGCAGTAATTTTCGGGAAATAAATGGAATTAGGCGAAGTGAATCCCGCACATTTATTTCGCGAAAGTGATTTCGTGCCTTTGTAATAAGGATTCCGTGATGAAACGTTTTCTCAAATTGATCGTTCCTGTTAAGTAATTTACCGTTTTTTTTTTCATCTTTCAATTCGCAAAAATCATCACAAGCATGCAACGGCCAAAAGATTTATCGACTGAGATTGGCTGAAATAGCGCCGAGATAGTGCATCGT